AAGAAACAGTTATGGCTCATTTGGTAAAGGCGTCAAGGGAGCTACTTACATTGCCATTGGGTGACCATTTGGAAATGCTGCCAACCAGTCCAACAGCCGATGGCGTTCCAGCTGCTGCTGCTGCTGCTGCTGCTGTTGCTGATGCAGATGCTGCTGTTGCTGAGGCCGCAAACTGATGCGCATCGCGGTCGGCTGCAGGGGCAGCAGCAGCAGCCACCGCTGTCGATGTGCTGCTGCCGGTGGCGGTGCCGGTGGCTGTGGTGCTGCCGACATTGGAGGCATTGCTGCCGCTGCTGCCGGCGCTGCTGCCGCCAACTGTGCGATTGAAATTTATTGATGTTGTGTTGCCACGTTTTTTGGGGGTCCCAGCAGCAGTCCGAACAGGAGTTTGAGCAGGAGTTATCATGTGAGCATGCGGTTGCGTTTTAGAATGGCGTATACCATCGTTAAAAATATTTACGATTAAAAGAAAATTGCATCCGTTGATTGGATTGGATTGGATTGGTTATTGGTTCCGTTTCAGATTGTTTTGGTGTGGTAGTTGATGTTGTTGTAGTAGTAGTAGTTGTTGTTGTTGTTGGTCGTTTTGTTGTGTTGATGCGATTGATTACGATTACGCGTTGTCCGCAGAGCAAAAGTCAGGAGAGCCAGTCACATGAAAAGTAAATGTCAGAAAAGTAGCCATAAGAATTTGATTAAATGTCGAATGCTGAATACGCTTCAAGACTATCTGAATCTCAGTTAGAAAGTGAATTACAAATGGAGTTTAGGTGATAAACAAAGTTTTTAATATCTTTGTTAATAACTTTGATGACCAACTGCTTGAGATAGCGGAACTACTCGAAGAGTAAGTGTATTGCATGTGCTTACCATATTGTGAGGGTATAACATCTGGATCACGTTCATCCTCGACCAAATCCTCAGATGATTTCGTCGTTTTGATGTCCGTGTGCTGCCAGCGCGGCTTCTCCAGGTTGTTGCTCTGGAAAATGTCATCAAACAATATTAATTGCATGCGAATGGCGAATGGAAAAGTGAAAACTGGCAGCAGGTGGAAAAATGAATCTTCGTTGCCTCACTCACACTCACCTTGAAGACGTCGCCCGCTTGGGCGGCCACGCCCGCTGCCGTCGCCTTGTTGCCGTGCTGGCGATTGCGCCGCAGATTGTGCACGAATGTAACCACAAAGATTCGTATCGCGATGGCCACCCCGATAATTATGATGGTTAGAACGCTGCCAACAATCACCGGCGACAGCGTCAGCGTCACATCGTCGTCTGTGTGTTAACGTTATTATTGTTGTCATCAGTTATTGTCGTAATTGCAGGTTGACAATCGTCGGTCATAAATCATCGTCAATTTTAGATAGATTGCCATCGGCCGTCGCAAATAATACACATGTACATCATGTGTGTGTGTGTGTGAATGTGTTTGTGTGTATCCCATATAGACATTTCCATTCAATTTAACGTTTGACAGTTTTATTTTTAGGCAATTCGTGCGAGCATATGAAAATTGGAAGAATTTAGTAAATGTGAACATGAGTTATTTTTATATTACAAGACACGGTGCACAGTGGTGCGAGTTGTATAAAAATGTGGGTAAATTATAATTATATGTGTTT